GCCTGGAGCAGCTCCTTCCTCCTTCTCCACTGACCTTGGTGTCTGCATCCCTCACATATTCTCAGCCTCCTCCTCTCTCTCTGACTACAACTACCGCGGCTACTCCTTTTGTTTTGATTTCCTCTTTTTCAGAGAGGCATTTTCTTCTGATTTTCTTCTCTTTTTCAGAGAGGCATAACCAGCATCTCCAGTTGGCCCAGGTTTGGTCAGTGGCATGTCCATCATCCTCAGAGCCAACAGCAATTGGCTCTGCTGGACATGGTGGAAGCCTCCAGAAGCTTCTCACAGGAGCCATCTTTTTTGCCCCCACCCCCCCACCCTCCCCTGCCCATATTATCAAAACTGAGCTAAGCAAAACCAAGACAATATCACTGCACATATCGGGATTGATACTGAAGGGATACCTACTTAAAACTTACTCAGTCTCGAGCTCTACTGTAATAAGAGGTTCCTATCAGAAATTACTAAGTCTGAAAAGCTATCCATATGACCATTTATCACAAAATTTATCACACATCTATCAGAAACTATMTTCAGGCTTTGTTAAGGAAAGGCATGTGATTCACAGCTGGGCTCCACTATAGTCCAATAGAAATTCCTATTTCAGTTTTGAGAAACCCCTTAAAATCTATTTRCAGTTTTCTCCAGCATATCACCCGAAAATTACCAAATAGAACAGGATATCTGATTAAGGTCCCTTTTTTACTTATCTTCCAGCTAGAAGTACATAACTTCAGTAAACATGGATATTTTTTAAAAGAGGAAAAGTATATTTGTGACCCAATGACTGCCTGAAGGCCTGCAAATGTGCCTTGCTGACAGCATCTTAGTAACCACTGTCTTATCTGCTGTTCATAAGTGGACAGGCATCTACTGACTGATTGCATCCCCTTTGGTATTAATCCCATGTTGGGCCAGTGCAATGCAATAAAACTATTACTTTTTGCTTTATCATGCAAAGAATAGCTCCTGACCCTGGAAATAATGACTCCAAGACTAGAAGTCACAGACTGTTCCACTGGCATGCTGTGTATTTAGAGCAAATCTAGCAGAGATTTTAGGCATTCACTTTCATCCTTCATATTTTTATATCAGCATCTGATGGATTCAGTTACTCTTTTTATACAAGCACCAATTCCTTTTTTTTCTCTATTATCAGTTGTTTGTCAAAATAATCCATTTCTGTTCTACATCCATGAATGATAAGGCAATTTGCTAAAAAAAAATCTGCCAAGTAAATTACAAAACAGTTTGTTTTATCAGCAATTTAACACCATGCAAGCTACCATCACTGTTTCTCTCTTCAAAGCCACAGCAGAGACCTTAGACCATTTATACTCTCACAAACATTTCTTAGAAGAAATCTGCTGAATGTTGGATTTATAGAAGAAAACTCTAGGATTACATGACACTGTAATGTAAAACATCTACATTTAGATTTGTAGCTTGTTATAGAGGTCAAATATGCAAATCTAATTTTTTAACTATTTTTTCAAAGTTGCCTTAATGCAGTGGCCATACTCACTGGGGTCAAATAAATGGTTCAGTTCTGGGTAAACTGATTTATTACCTTTAGTATTTTCTTATGTAATAACTTCATATTTCCATATTTTAATTTTTATGTATATTTCAGATATCATATTGCACAAAAAAAGGACTAAAGGGCACATTTTGTCACCTTCCCATCCAGACAGTGTATAGTTATATACTTGGAGTTTCAATTGCTTCAACAATCTGATCTCCTTCTTATAATATTTAGCAACATGAATCATGCATATATAGCTTGTCCATATATACTCTTTCTACTGAAAACACTTTGCCAGCCCCAACAGTACTCCCCTACTGTGATGGGAGTAGTAGGTTACTTCTGAACCTCCCCATGGTAAAATCATGGGAACAATGGGACTACAATGAAATTTAATGTCTACTTTGAATATCCCACAGTAATGTCTATCCCATTGTAATGAATGATGTCTACTTTAAGCATCCCAAAGTGTTACAAGAGTACAGAAGAAATGCATCAATACCTAAGATGTTTTGCCTTCTGGCCTGTTTTTTTAAAGTGAAAAGGAAAGACTGTAAGCTGTAAAAAAATATGAGAAAGCTTTTCCTATTTTTCTTATGTAGTTAAATAGCAGCAAGTTTTGTTATCACTAGGGCAAATCACTTAGAAACTATGGTATACTTAGCTGTATAGGAGAATGAATAAAGAACCCAAATGTTTTGCTGTTAGACAATTAACTCTATTGAAATTAATTTAGAAGATACKATAATTTAGAATATATATTGTTGTTACATGAATAAAGCCTGTGTAAATAGCACATTTTGTAATTCAAAGTAACATACAAAAAAAGCTTAAGAGGTTGGGCGGTCAATAGACTAATAAATTCTGTCACTTATTTGTAAAAATTTAAACAGATGGTAAAATTCAATACAGGATAACACTAGGGTAAGAATATGATCGTGATCAAACATTTGTCAGTCTTGGTAAAAGATGAAATCCGTTTGAGCAGGCAAGTGTATACAACACAGCTCTCACTAAGATGCCTGACACCAGTGGAAACTGATGTACTCCTGACAAATATTAAATCATTTTAAAATGACACAATTAAATTATGTTTTGTATATATATAAATGCTTATGTTATATATATATATATATATGCTTATGTTATTTATATATATATATATCTATATAATGTGGACCTAATAGTTTTTTAATATGTAGGATGAATTCTTTTGCCAAAGAAACCAAGACTGTCATAGTCCTACAAAATTAAGTCAAACAGTTGATTATACCATTAGCTTTTCAACAATGTAATCATTTAATCTGGAAACTATTTAGGGAAGATGCGATAAGTTTTATTGCTTCAAACACCATACTATCAGAATGCAAAGAAAAACTTGCAGAAACATTGGTTTATTTATTCTACTTTAAAAACAGCATTAATGAATTAACAAGTGGAAGCATGTATATGTAATTCTAGAATGCCCACAGTAACAAACATATAATAACTTCAAAAAACATCTAAAAAGCTTACCACTATTAAATACCATTTTGAAAGTGGTCTTTTGGACTACACTTTTAAAAATCACAGTAATTGTGGTATCAAAGCTCTGTTAAGCTCAAATTCATTTTGACTCTTTTGCATTTATGATAGCAGCCTATTTTATCAAATTGCAGTCTGCTTTGAAATTATTAATATACCAATTAAGTGCAAATTCTTTATAAAAAGATGATGACTTATTCCATCTTTTTACCCACTGGCTAAGTGTCCTACTGATAAGTAAATGGATACCTAAACCTCTCCAAAATGGTTGACAGCCTTCCTCCAGCATTTAAGTAGTTAAAAATGAATTTGTGTTTCTCACTGATATTCTTATATGCATTGACAGTATCAATACTTACTTGARCTTCTCAGCAAAATTTTCACCAAGAGACAATCATGGTGTAGCAATGTTTCCAAAAGCAAGTTCAAATTACAGTATGGCTGGGATAAGAGCAGCTTCAGCTGACCCTGGCCTGCCATTTCTCTGGCTGATGGAGTCCTTTCAAAATACAAGATAAAGACAGAAAGAATAATATAGTTAATTATCCGTGAATTTAATACCCTTAGTTTGCAGATGTAACACTAACTCCCTTAAGTATCAATTCCTCCCAGATTACTCTACAAATGCTTTCATGCTTCCTTACTTTAAGGAAGCTCAGAGAAAGAATTACATTTAATTTCAACTAGTTAAAAGCAAATTTACATTTGTTACTGTGTCACAGTTATATCTGATACAAAGCAACTTCGCTTATCTCTTTTATCGAACTGTATTTGTCATGTTCTACCAGGCAAGGAGAATTCTTTCCCCTGCAGTTGAATAAATGTAAGGGTATTATTTTTTAGTTTATTATTCCAGTAATTGTTGAGCAAGTGATGTGAAGTGTCTGTCCTTGATGCAGTATACAAAGCTCTTAAGAAAAAAATAGTGAAAATGCTCATAAGGGTGGCAAAATCCCCCCTTTAGGGTAAATTCTTACATGTCCTGAAAAATCCACATAAAATATTAGACYGATTGAGTTACTGCTTTGCCAGCAGGCAGAAGTAAAAAAGTGTTGTACAAATTCATTAGCTTTTAAAGAGATTGCAGTTTATTTTCTGTTTACAGTTTATTTTCTGTTTGTGGTTTCCATATCCTGCAAAACTGAGGTTTCCAAATAATCAGGGCTGCCTCTTAACACAGTCAACACCAATCACCTAACTCACATAACAGTTAAACAAAAAATACACAAACAAAGCTGTCCTGCAAAATGCTTATCATCTATTAGATTTAATATTTTCTTCTTGAAATATTTTAATAACAAGTTTTCAAAGTTGTATTATGCATAGTTTTCTTTTCTTTGAAGCATAAGTTTTTATTAATTTGAATGTTTTAAACTTCAGCAGATGCTTAGCCCCTGTATTTATTTTTCCGGCTACAGGTTTATGCAACAATAGTTGCTAACACTGAAACTTTATGCACCTCATAGGTAAACTTTTATGCACACAAATTTTATGTGCATGATTGTAAAGACTTCATATGGACTGATGCATTTACAGTGTAGGTATATTACCTGCCAGTATGCAAAAAACACCTTCAGCATCAGTTAAAACCTTCATCAGGAGCTTTCCAGTTTGAAATTTTTCCTGTCAGAAAGGACTTACAGGCCTCTGCTCAAAYACTTAATGCACCATTTACACAGAACTTCTGGACTCATGTTGTTCTGACAGAGGGGAACCTCTCCATCATATTGAATACTTTTACAACCTCTGACTTAGYCCAGTGTGCCACCACCCAGCTGTGTTTGAATTCATGCATGTGAAACAATAGATGATTGCACAAATATTTTGCTGTTGAGTCAAGGCTGCTGTTTATACAATGTATTTAGTGCAAACTTGCAAGTCCTGAAAAAGACCATGTCAGCTCATACACTCCTTTAGTTTAGCGCCTCGTGTCTGCGTTTCCATTATCAGAAAAAGCAGTATGCTACATGTCTTGCAGGGCAGCCTTGGAGGCCCCTAAGGAAACCAGAGCACCATCTTCCAGCAGGGCCCTTACATCATTCCATGACAAAACTCCACTGTAATAGTCATTTTAGTAAAGGAAGATGTTGGACACCTCAGCCTTTGCCATTTTAACATTACAGCAAATACCTCTAACTTCATAAGAAATGTCTATGCCACGAAACCTCTGGTACAGCTTTTGTGATTTTCATCTAGTATTTTACATATAGTCACTGATGGTGTAGCACCGACTGTACAATTATATTTGCATATTAACACATACTGGATTCTAGTAATATTTATCAAAAATATGCACACATATACATTGAAATCTTGATAGAACTTGCAGCCAAAATAAATTCTCCGTCTTTAAAACACATTCAAACATTATGACTTCACATTCTTAAGAGAATTAAGACCTTAATTTCTGTATGTTCAAGATTAGTTTATATATATATATATATATATATATAAATCTCACACATGTATAATCTATATATAATCTAATCAGTAGTTAGTAATTAAAATTAAAACAAATACTATATTCACACTAGAATTAATGCTATGACTGATAGCAAACTCAACACTTCACTAAATGTTAAAATATTTGGGCCAGTTTAGTTTTTTTCCTCTTCTTTTAATGCCATAGTTATCCTATCTAATAAGGTCACTCATTGCCTTCAAACTGAAAGATAAGTGACAAGCTGGGTCAATTAGATTTATGAAGAATAATAATTTTAATTCCTATAGAAATAAATTACATTTTTAGAATATCTGAATTGAAAAAAAATCCTCTTGTCTATCATTGACCAGATGGGAAGTTATCATGTTGTAATATACACCAGTTCTTGGCTCTTTAAGCATCTTGCAAATTGAAATGTACAATGGTGTGACTCACTTGGAGGAAAAATAAAATATAGCAGACATTCCCTACAGCCATGAAGCTAGCACCAATAAATGCACTGAGAAGTTTTGTAACGTGCATATGGAGAGACATATGTTCTCTCATCCTCATAGCTCAGTACTAGAGAAAATAAGACTAGCCTCATAAAAAGTGACAAAAGGTGAAGTACATATAAATATCACACATATAAATGTCCTGTTTTGTACAGTAGAAGAAAAAGAAACAACTTTGATTCGCAAATAGTATGATTATAAATGCCAAATGAGGCAAGAATCAATCACAGTTACCACTAAAGGGATCACAATTACCACTAAAGGAACTGCAATATAAAATATCAGTAATTATTCAGTTTGTTACACAACTGTATTCTTTTGATTTGTATTCAAAACAGAAAGAAAGAAAACCTGAAGCAGTAAGTTCAAGATTTTATAAAGCAAGTAAGTATGCTAATTTATGGCAACAACCTTGACCCTGATGCTGGATTCAAATTGACAAAATGAAACAGCCTGTAGCCATTTTCAGTAATGAAAAATAACAAAGGAATCAGGTTATAGAGTAAACTATAAATAYAAGTAAAAAAATTATTTTTGGAAACAAGCAAAACTTTTTTTTTTTAAATACCAAGCTTAGAAGACTTAATAGCTACATGTATGACAGGYTAGATTCTTCAGTTAAAATGTAGGTGGCCACAGTCGAGAAGCTCACAATGGTCTGTGCTTCCAATTTTATGGATAGTGAACATATATTTTAATTAGATGCAATATGTAAAACCAGAAAACAATCCAGGAATAATTAGGATGCTCTGAAAAACAGTTTGCTGCAATATTTAAACATAATGTGTCTTGTTAATGCTTTAAATGCTGTACTTAAAGGAAAATAAAATTTCATTGACATAGAGTATAAAACCAATGAAAAAAACTAGAACACTTCAGAATTACTCATTAGATATAGAGTCCTTATTTTTTTTTCTCTGAGCAGCTGAAAGGGACGACTAAATATTTTATCAATGTAGTTCACTGATTATCACCAGGACAGTACACGAGGGTACACAAGGCTCTCTGCCGTATATGGATTGTTCTCACACAGGTACACAGACCTGTATATCTTCTTAGAGATGCACTTTCTTTTGTACCTCTCATTTTCCTATTTGGTGATCAAGRAATTGTGTCTTTTATTATCTTTCTTCCAGGGAAAATAAGTGCCTACTACTTAGCTCTGGAATAGATTTCTCCTATTTATTCAAATCTATACTAATTCCACCTCAGAAATTACAATTATGTCAGACTGAAATGGTACCAGCATTTCCTTTACATACAGTTACACAGCATAGGGTACTCATTTGTGAAATCATCTTCCAAAACTCATACTTCGCAGTTTTATTTAAATTTTGAAATCTGGCCTTGGATGAGGGCATCGAAAAGCTTACTGTCTTTTCTTCAATGAAAACTTAATGAAGCATAAATTATCCAGAAATGGACTTCTAGATTCCTTACTAATGCAGTCATTCCCTCTCCTTTTGTCCATCCATGCATAACTTAAAAAGCCACTGGCAAATTTCTTTGAAGCTTGATAAACACACATGATCTTTCAAGCTTTATAAGAACTTAAATACTATTTCAAGCAGAACACATTCAGAATTCATCAGTTTTCAATTCTGTTTGGCATGTAGTTAGGGAACCATGTGACTTTGATGTAGTCACAACATATATTGTCTCTGATTCAGCAGATATCAGAGGCACCAGGGAAGGAGATAATAAGATTGATGATATGTAGTTAGGAGTGAAGCCGGTGGACAGAATTCAGCAGGTTTAGTGTAGTATGGGGCAAAATTATAGGGAAGATACTTCTATATACAAGCAACAAGGTACAAGATACTGTGTGTACAAGGAAAGAGGAAATAAATCCAAAGCACGTCATCAACAGGTCACCACTCATTTGATTACATATTCCTCCAAAATATAAAAATACTCTCTCAGAAAAGAAAGTAACATCTTACAAAAGCAGCTTTTCATGAAAATGGAGAGTGAAAATCTCTCAGGAAATAACTTTGAAGAGGAGGAGGAAGAGAAGGGGTTAGGAGAGGWTCTACACTGTTGTGGGAGTGCTTCAGGTTTAAAATTAGAAAGCAAATGACAGAACAGCTGGTAGCATGTATCTTCTATGTAACTTGTCATTATATGAAGTGACACAGTAAAAGAAATTAGCTTTTTCCTGTACTCATGCAGTAACCTCCAAAAAATTCAACTACAATCAAGCAGAATATTTTTCAATGAGTTATTTATGCACCAAATATTTTTTTAAGCAGCAATCCTAAACAGAAAGGCATACATTCTTTATCTCCCTGAGTCCTTCAGAATAGCAACTGCACTGAATTATTTTACTACTTTATTGTCAAGAACAATATACTCCTGAATACACGCCAGAAAACCTTACAGATAATGAATTAAGTATCAGACATAATAATAGACCAGCAAAACACATTGCTTTCAAAGCAACTTTTCTTACGGACTCTCAAAGTTTAGAGAAATTGGTGATGAATTAAGAAATGTTTCTATGGCTTCTTAAAATCAGAATATTAATTAGACATTTATTCAGATAGACTCTTTCCAATATGCTGTTACAATATTTGATCAATTAATTTGATTAATTGACTATCTGGTGATCATTTTACAACAATCAACTTTTGATACTCACTTCAGTAAGAAAAAACAGGATGATGGTATGCAAAATAACCAGTGTAAAGGATGATAAAAGACTTCTGAAAAATCTTGAGGAAGGTGTTCATCAGAATTATCCAGAAATGTCCTGGAAGAAACCAAATACTTCTGAATTATATGGGAGACTGAAAATCCTGTTGGATTACGAAGCATATGTATATACATATATATACGTGAATAGAAGACACAAAATACCTTATGATAAATACTACTAATATATGGATGCAAACACATGATTGCAAACCTATTTATGTACTGTTAAAAATATAAATCTGTATTTTGTCCTCTTTCACTCCTTGAAACTCAGTATCTAATAACTGTTACAGACGTTTTCTTCATAGTTTTACTCTTATATAACATATTTTCAAGCCATTTGAAAATGCATTCAATAAGCAAATTTCTCTTCAGTCATTAATTTCTAAGGCTCTTTTCTTCCTGCATAACAAATGCATCATATTTTTAATATKTTTATAATAATGATATGTGAAGTATCTTTTGAAATTATAATGACTGACATGCAAGTACATATAGAATTTGGATTAAACTGGACAAAAAATTGAACAAGAAGCTTTGGACCTTCACTGGCTTGACAGAAATTGAATACTCGTTGTAGGAACTAGACAAGAGCAAGATTGTGACTAGATGTCACTTTTGCAATACTCCACTTACTCCAATGATGTGAGAGGCAAAATCTACAGATACTAAAAATTAAATATTTTATTAATTGTATTATAGGAGTMTAACTATATGCAAGAACAGGATTCTACAATTTAATATTTGCTTTTAATTATTGTTTAGTACTAAGTTATTACTATTTATACTATTTTCTCGCAACCACTAGGAGTCAATAGTATGTGATAGCAATGGATGCCCCTTGGCCTCTTCCCCTTTTACTCTCATTTACGCTGCATACAATTCAAGACAAGAAGAATTTCAGCATGTTACATCCATCCTCCATTAACTATAAACAGTTATCACTTCACAAGTACCTTACTTTTCATCTTACTTGGCTGTTAATAAACAGAAATCTTTCAACAAATTAATTCAGAACTGTAGCTACACCCTAACCAACCCTAACCCTAAACCTAACCCTATTAAATCACTGCCCAGATGAAAGGAGACAATTAAATGTCTTCAACAAGAAAGGTAGGWGTACAGTTCCTGAACTTCTCCAAAAGATAGTCTGTTTTATTTGGAAATCAATCTTACTAATAATGAAAAAATAGTAGCAAGAATTTACTACAGATATCTAAATTACCTAAAGTAAGCAAAATCTGAGCAGAAGGATTAGCACAGTGAATTTGTGCTCTTTGCAAATTCTTGAAAACATGAAGTTAAAAATAAAGCTGAGATGCTAATATAGATAAAGGGAGAACTGAAACTCGAAAAGAATTATTTTAAGAACAGTAATTTCAATATTACAAAACAAAAAAAGAATATTGTCTCTCATCCACAGAAATAGTTTTTTCTGAATACAGCAAAGCATAGAGCAAACATCCTACCAGAAAGCATGATAAATACACTTGGGCTAGCAACCTAACAAGAAAAAAAGGACCACATCTTGTCTATTGATTTTGTAGGACCTATTTAAGAGAATTCTGGAGCTTTTTAAGTGTGTCTTCTTAGCTTGTCCTAAGGAAAAACACAGGGCAGACTTTTGGATTCTGACTTATTTGCTTATTATAAAGTCTCCACAGAAATTTTTGAAGTGAGACGGAGATAATCTGAGGTTTTAAAGTTTGCTAAAATATAAGAATAGCTTCAAACACTACAAAGAAATCAAGTGTCTAATGATAATACAGTAATTCTCATGACAACATTTCTTAATGTCCACTGCTGGCAAGGTGATTCTTGCCAGGAAAACCCAACTCTGTGCCAGACTGTTTAACTCAACTACTTTTCTGACAGAAGTGTAAGAATAGCTATTAGGACATTTGTTTTTGCTTCAAGTTATGTTAAAGCAGCTGCCTATAATCTCAAAGCCATGGACAACTTATTTAATACCAAAGCAAGATTTCAAGTTACAGTAGTTTAATTCTTCAGTAGAGTGTGACAAGGTGAGAATTGATCCTGTAAACCTCAGTGCAGGTGTGAAGAAATGAGATGCCAACAAGACCCTAATAGTATTTCCTTTAGTCTTCGTACAATTTCTCTCTGTATAAGGAATACACATTACTAAAAAGGAACTTTATGAGCTATAACTCAAATACTAAAGAGAAATATTTTCAGTCTCTAATATTAAATTACATTGAATTTACCCAATAGAGAGCAATTTTTTCAATAGACTCTCTAAATTCTTCTCCCAGTATTTAAATAATTTACCTAACTTCTTGTTGAAAAAGTAAGATATACCAATTGTATTGTAGCCTTTTTGGCTGGTTTTAGAATTAAGAGGCAAACACAGTTAAAGGGATAAAAGGGTATTTTTATACCTTGGTATTTTAATAAGATCATAGGTATACAGCTTGTCAAGGTAGAAAACTCCAAAAATGCACACCGTGTATAATGTGTATACAATTTTTATAGACCTCACATATTAMCATATCTGTCTAGAATTCTCCGATAAGAAACTTAACGAATGAAGTAATGCCCCCCTATTCTAAAGAATCCCTCCCCAGATGAGGTTAGAGCCCAGTTTACACAATATTTTCCAGAGACAATTGAGTTTTGAGACAGCATGGGGCTCACCAGCCTCCTATTGGGGTTGTTTTGTCTTCTGCATAGCAGAACCTAAAAACTAAGCTAGAATATCAGGCTACAAGAATTACAAGTATGTAGGCAAAGGGTACAAGGAATACGTAAAGGGTACAGAAAATATCTAAAAGTATATAAAATGTATTAAAGGGCATATAAAATCAAAGGCAAAAATCATCAGGCATCAGTATGGAATCACAAAAAGGTGTATCTACCTTACTCTTTATGTTCTTCCTTTACAGATTATTGTTGCATACTCAGTACAAAAGACTAAAGAGTACTAGAAAAAGCAGAATAGATCTGCTCCAAACTGAGCAACCCTCAACCTGAGGCAGAAGACAGTCTCGTCTTTGAGGCCTGTACTTCTCTACAATCTAATCAATGAAGAGTAGCATTGGATTCTCCTACGTAATTCACAGGCAGCACTGAAACTGTTTGATCACTACACAAAACCCCAGCTACTAGAACTGGGTAACTGACAACAGTCTTGTCAGTGAATAAGACAATGATGACTGGAAAATCAGTAGCATGAAAATCCTCTTATTTCAGAGGATATAAGCAGCAAAAAAATAGCAACACTTGGTTGATTTGGGGAGAAAATTCTGGAAACTCCTATTGTTCAACAGGTCCTTAACAACAKGGACAAAAGTGGACTGAGAATAATGTTTAGGATATTTTCAGCTGACACCAAACTGGGGGAAACAGAGAGAGTAGTTAACAAAACAGCAGAATGCCTGCTTGTGGGTGACTGAGGCAATAGAAATTCACAAAGTTGACTGAGGTAAAGAGAACTTGCTTTCTCCAGCAACGACATTATAAAAACCTAGGCTGGGAACTAACTTGTCTGAGAACAAACCCTACCCAGCCACAAACCTGGGGTTTATGGGCATTAGGGTGTTGAAGACAAGGCAACAGTGTATTGTCACTAGACAAACCACACACTGGACTGCAGTAGAAGGAGCACAACGACTAAAATAAAGAAAGTGGTTTACTCCATCTACTTGGCACCAGTTAAGCCTTACCTAGAATATTTTTTTCAGCTGTTGGGCCTATAGTTCAAGGAGGAACTGGAGAAGGCTAAACAGAGTCATCTACAAGACAGTTTTAAGGGTCTTTGACTCCTTTACTCTGGTGAAGAGGTAGCTAAAGGGTCAATCCATTTAATGACAGCCTACAACCACTCAAAGAGCAAATACAAAGAAAACAACGACCACATTTTCTCAGTGGGGGCTGATGTGATATAAGTCATAGCCAGCACCTTTGAAGTTTCACCCTAGACATTASGCAATACTTTTCACTAAGGCATTGCAGCTGAGGAGCAGGCTTCACAAAAAGTTGTAAAACTCCAGTTCCTGGAGGCTGACACGTGTCAGGTGTGTTAGTCAAACACAGTCATGTTTGACTGCTCTTGATGATTGTTCTGCTTTGAGGCTAGGTTAGACAACAGTCCTTTCCAATCAACATTTCCATCATGCTAGACGCTTCAGGAAGGCCACAGAAAGGCAGAGAAAAATGAAGCACAGAAAAACAAGTATCAGCACCTGATGACCCAAGATTCACAGGTGAATTTTGGACCCAATCTAAGTAATCTTGTCATGCAGAAAAGACAAGTGGTAGCTGAATGCATGTTTGATCATAAAATTCGGAAGGAGAAAACATATGCCAAAATAACCTCATTTGAAGTTAAGGATATTACTAATTTTTCAATGTCTTACTGGTTTGCTCAATTTCCACACAATATTAAGAAATTTCAATAATTTTAGTTCCCCTAAACAATAGTGAATACAGCCTCTTTAATCAGCTGGAAATGAGTCAGTCAYGTTATTACACAACTCCTGGAAAACAGTGTTCTGTCACTGCCACTTCTATGATTATACAGAACCTTCCTGAGAAATCTAAAGATGAATTGAAATCTAGTCACTTAAGGGAAAACTTCCACTACCAAAAAAGAGTATCATAGATTTAAAAGAAAAAATCTTTCATTTCACTTGCAATTTATTTTACCAAAGGTTTGAAAGACAGAGGGCCAAGATAACAGACACAAATTGTGATTATACAATATAATTGCAGAGAGTATTGATGAAAGATTAGTATTCCTTTAAAATCAGGCATAACTCTTACATTTGTTATTGATAGATTCTTAATGTGATGAAATAAACACAACCCAGTAAGCAACGGATCGAGGTATTATACTAGGTGCATGCTGATCCATTATATCAAAATGTTCCCAATTGGACAGTCATTTAAGAAGCTGATTGGCCAAACTACTTTTTTATTTGTATTCTAGACACAGGGTTAGGTTACCTGACAAATATTTGCTGCAATTAAATGTACAATGTTGAAAAATAGGTTTGATAATGGGGCCTCATAGATTTTGAAAACACAAGTTCTGAATACAAGTTCATTTAAAAATCCTGGTTTTACTTATTCTAAAACACATATCAATATAGAAATGGTCTTCAGTGTTAATATTATTTTTGTAACTATATAACAAAATATGACAATTTTTTGTATCCATCTTAAACAAAGCTGCCATATTTTGGTGATTTGCACAGTACTTTGCAGTAAATTGAAAGAGCTAGTACATTCTGCACACGTCAAGTTTTTGATCTCCAGATAAGCAAATTCTTATTTGGAGATTTGGGTACTGAAAYACATTTCCCTAACTATGAAATATATATGACCAAGTTGTTTACTTGTAGCATTTTACATAAAATACAAGATAAGCTGCCTCTTCATTGCTACTCAATAATTTTTTTGTCATGCTATGTATAGATAAATATGTAAACAGCATTRATCAGTTTCAAAAGAAATCTGTCCTATCTGAAGAATAAATTACAAATTTGGGACAGTAATTATTACGAAAATTTTACAGTTTTTGTCACAGAGGAAATCAATCCAGATATTCACTATGGTCTATGTTATTAACAAAGAAATGTACGACACCAGAGTTTGATCCAAAGCTAATAAAATACCAGCAAATATAACTTGGATTTAGATAAGATCATAAGAATAATTCCAGGATCAAACTGAGAAATAGTCAAAGAATATTAAAATGTCAATACTATGCATTGGATTTGATGTCAACACAAAAATTCACTTCTGATCTATCCATGTAAGCTCAAGAACCAATTTTATCTCAARTAGAATGTTTATTTCATACTCACTCATACAAATTCTTCAGTGGTGAGGTTAAAATAGCCAGCACAGAGATCAGACTATTACAGTGGCTATGTATTTTACAGATCTTGAGATCTCTGTCTTCGTGAGGATTCAGAAACTCCTGCACAGAACTACAAATTGACCAGAGCATATCTTCAGTGGACATCAAAATCGCTGCAATATCAATTCTGTAGGCAAAAAGACCCCAAGAATAACAAATTTCAATTAAACAGACATTTCACCTGACAAGATAAAATACCAAAATCATAGCATGGACTTTAAATTTCCTCTTCAGTGATGTAGAAAGTCTGCATCCACTAGTCTGTAAAAAATCAACTCCTCCACAAAAAAGTTGTTACTGAAATTAGTAAAAAGAAGGCTTAAAAAATTTGGAAATGTCCTTTTTCAAAGGACAATATCACTAGGCAAGAACAATTTCCTTTCTAAACTACTAGTATATAAATTTAAGTTTTGTTTTCTTATAATTAAAATGGACATACTGTTTTCAAATCCTGATGGAGCAAAAATATAGGAAAAAAAGGAATTTAATCTTCAATTTGCAAAACTAACTCCCTGCAACATACTACAGTGTGGGTGATTTCTGAGTCAGTAATCTGTTGCCTGTTGATACTGGCTGGCAGAACATCATGGGTCATTGGCCTGAACAATAGCAAGGAACCAAACTACAGCAACATAATCTCACAAGACTATGCTGACATAAAATATATAGAAAACATATKAATAACACACAAAAAAAGGGAGGCATGAAGCTGCACTTAAAAAAGGACTTAAGTACATAAAAGCCATGGATACACATGATCATGTGCATTTTTAAGGATCACCTCATTTTTAAAAAATTGAGGCAAACACACATAAAAAAGACATTTGTCCATCACTTCTCTAAGATTTCTAGAACCATTTGGAGAAAAGATATCTTCACAAACTACAATATTACTTAAAAAACATGTAAAGCCTCTGTGATAAAAATATATTGACTAATAGTGAGTAATTTTTTTCATTTATTCATGATTGGATAGTTCAATTTACTCAGTGAAAAAATCAAGAATCACCTTATTAAATATACAACTTTACTAAAAAATGACAATGTAAATTGTTCTTTCTGGTTCATTATTTTGAAGAAAATTCATGTAGAGTTGACTAATATGACATTTAAGTAATATTGTATTTTTCACATTTCAGGGCATTTTTTTCCCAAATAAAACTCCAGTAAAGTTTTCAGGAAAACTCTCTGTACAAAAAGATACAGAACAGTAAGTTAGAGCAGGAACAGGGCACAGAAACAGGTTTGTAGAACAAAATTTCTTTCTTTTCCTACTCAATCCAAGAACGTGATCTTGTGCAAGTTACTTCAGCTTTCCTGACAATATTCCTTTTCTTAATAAAACTTGAGATGACAGCATGTAACTCTTAGCTCACACAGAACATGTATCTTCTCAGTGTCATTAAAGCACTAAAAATTACAAATGCCTGAACTCTTTTCAGTGGTGCTGAGCAATAGCACAAAAGGTAACAGAAACTGCTGCACAGAAAGTTTCCCCTGAATATGAGGAAGAATTTCCTTGCTGTGTGTGATCAAGCACTGGAACAGATTGCCCTAGGAGGGTGTGGAGTCTCCTACATTGGAGGCATCTAAGAGGTGTCTGGACTCAGTCTTGTGCCATGTACTCTGGGATGACCTGCTTGAACAGGGAGATTGGACAAGATGAGCCAATGTGGTCCCTTCCAACCTAACCCATTCTGTGATTCTACATGATTATGAGACATACACCAATTTATTGAGTAAAAGACACTGGATAGAAAGGACAAAGGTAGGGTAAACTTCCACTTGGAGACACCTGCTTTAGTATTTCTCAAAAAGACCCTCCTCTCTGGCAAAATACAAGAAATACAACAGGAACTTCCTTTTTTCCTAAAATGACAGAAAAAAGGAATAGTGTCYTTCTCATCTCTCCTTCTACACCACTAGCATCATTCTGGCAAATCTTTTTATGTGACCTTATAGATCTTTCTTTCACTTGAAAAGCCCTATAAAAACACAAATTTTACTGGAAGATATGAAGTTTTTCTTAACAAATCAGAGGCTTGATTTCTTATCCTGATGTTGCCAATTCTGTTTAAATTTTTGGTTGCATCACCACTCCTCAATGGACTTTCACTGTGAGGCTTTCTAACCAATCAAGCAGTTTATGAAAAAKTTTTACAGAGGCCTTTGATTCTGCCCAGTTTGAGATACAGCTACTAAATATATATAAATATAAAAATGTATTTTATTAAAACAAACACAAAAAAATATTGATTTGTTCTATCTCCTCTGCGGTGTTCATTAACATTTAAATTTGAATCACAGCAGTGAATAACAAAAAACTAACATTTATTTTATCCATTAAAAGGCACATTAAAGATACAACCATTACCTGATTTGCGGTGTTCTTTTGTAACTGGGACACACCTGACAATATCTGGAGGACAGAATGCCCAAAGATTGTTCAAGCACATCTGTAAGAATTTCCTGGGCTCTTTTTGGAGGTAGAATATTCCATAGATCATGATGAAGAGCACAGCAGAAGTAATGCCACATCTGAACAGAGAATGAGCATCTTTCCCCCTATCAAAACCATGACACATTACATAACAAAAACACACCTTCCAAAATGTCAGTTTAACTCCAGTAAGTCTAATTCATTCAAGAGGAAATAGCTAAAGAGTTTCACAAATATGATGACCAACAAATGGACCTTGAAAAGGTATGAGACATCTTAGTTTGCAAGGAAACACATGTTCCATTTCAGTCACAAAATTACTGTTCTGCCACAAAACCAAACCACAACATTTGAACTCTTATATCCTCAATTACTGTATTCTCAAAACCTCTACTGATGTAAGTTTAGTTTAAAAACATAGACAGTATTTTTTACCCACTAGAACAGTCAGACAAACTTAATATAAGTTTCTTTGACTGCAAAGAAAATAATTATTTACATTACTTCAGCCTATGTATTTACTTAGATTCATAAATACTATGTATAACCATGTTATAAAAGTTCCTTATATATAATAGATATGCAAGAAAAGAGAACAACAGAACTATTAAACAACAGAACTATTGCAAAAACGTTTCAACTGTTACAGAATAAACTTACCAGATAAAAAGTAACTACTTTGAATGCCTAATGGAAGCTACTTTATTTTGGCCCTATCTTTATTTTAAAAACAAAATTCAAAATTTTTTAAAACCCATGAAGATTTACCAATCAAAAATATAATTCTAAATTGACTTTTTGACATAGGTTGTTTATTTCCTTTACAGAATTGAAAGTTGACAAGTTTTACTTTCTTTTCCTTACTTTACTTTGTAAAGATAAACACAAATTGTTTCACCTTCCACTTTGGTTTATTTACTAATAGCTCTTTTCCCTTTTTTTAGTATTTCCCTTTTTTAGTACCCCACTGCAGAAGCAACAATATCACTGAAGATTTAAATTAGATTCACTCCCCTTTTCTGACCTGTGTTTCTATTTGTTGTCATTTCTAGACAATTCCACTGATAAACATCTGCTATCTGCTATTTTTGCAGGCATCATGTAATACAAACAGATGTGAGCTTTTTTTTTAGCTTATATATCAGGAAACAAGCAGCTGTGCTTTATTATATAAGCTACTCAGTATTATCTCTGAATAGACAATTCTTTATTCTTTGACTGTTATAAAATATAAGTTCCCACAGCTACAGCAGATGTCTGCTACACTAAGAGCTTCATTCAAAAACATAATCTGGAGAGCTGCCCCAGTGGCACACACTCCCTRCTGAGCTTAGACTTTGGAGGAAGCCAACTCCCACTGCTGGAAGTTTCAGCAGGGAATCATCTCTGTAACAAGCAATAGATCTTAATCCAATCTCTTCCATTTAGGATGCCTACAAGAAGACAATTGACTAACATGCTCAGAAGCATGCCTCCCCACGGAACTCAGTGCAGATCATGGTCCACCCTTGGGCCATCTCCCATGGCCCAGCAAAAAGAGAATAGTGATGATGTAAAATTACATACTTTTCACTTCAGATCCCGCAAACTTAGAAAKCTGAGACACCAGTTTTCCTCATTCCTTCCTACATACATCACTTCTGTTCAGTAATGATAGAATTGTTTAGCTACTCCATATACTTTATTCCTCAGACTAGCTCTCCATGGTGAAGTTACTGGATCACTAATAAACAGGACATGGCACCATAGGGACTACAGACAATGAAGATCATATTACAATTCATCAGCTACCAAAAGCCACAGCATTTCTTACTTTATCATCTKGGCTTCCATTCAAACGAAATTGAAATGTTTATTTACTCGTCTTTGAGGGATAGACATTTTGATAGGTTACTCTATGGTCTGCATGCTCTGTCCAGCACAGATTTTGTTACTGATGCAGCAGCATCTTATACTATCTGTATACTATCTGCGTAGACTACATGTATCAGACAGAATTTTCACTCATGTAAGAATTTTAGAAAATGCTTAACAGAATACAGTAACTGTCTCACAATTGTCTCAGAAAATGACACAAGGAGCTAACTTCAAACAATATACATGTCAACCTATGTTTGTCTTTAACTAATATGAAGGAAAATATCCCATAAATTTTAAAAATTCTCTTGATTTTTATTCTTTTTTCATAGAATCATTAGGTTATAGCTACATATCAGACCCATGACTTCAAAATGAAGGTGAAATAGCACTGGCTATTTCAGAAACATATTGTTGAATGCTTAAGGTAACTATTGACCATCTTTCTTTGTTACACCCTTTACTCACAAGAAGTAAAAAGGAGAATGAATCGAAAACAAAAATCAAAGAATAAGATAAAAAAAATTCCAGAAAAAGATTTTCATATGTTACTCTTTCTAAAAGAAGTGTCAATTTCTTGGAGATTAAGATGCTAGTATCCTCTTTACTGAATTCTATATAAATGTCTTGATAMATGATTAATACTTTATGAAGCAAGTAAAACAAACACTTCATGGGAACAATTGATCTCATGTGTAAATATCTATGTTTTCCTACATCATTTGTAGAGAGACACTTGCCTGCAATAATACATATTTCAAAAGAGCAAAGTCCAGTAATCCTTATATAAAAACAATGCTGATCTCATGCTTCTGATTAGTCAGAGAATTGGCAATCACTAGAACACATTTTGTAAAAGGGAGGCATAGTAATTTAACCTCACACCTCATAAAAAGCTTTGTAGTCATCCCAGTAGTGGCTTTCAGCATCCTGTAAAATGCTTGTAGCGCAAATTCTGATGCAGTAGTTTGTAACTTGAAACTGGAGAATGTTGATGAATTCCTGATACTGCTGGACAGGCACAACAAACAGGGGTCTGTTCAGAGAGAATTATTAAAGAGACAGTGATTGAAAGGCTGTATACTAGGAGGTAACAATCTCTAGCACTGCAAATAGTTTTGATTAGTAGGTATCAATCATTCATTTCCTCATGGTCCTAAAGTCTGAACCTAGCATGCAGTTTTGCAACTTTTTGTTTCAAAGTTTTTAAAATATGTCTGCTTGTCTATAAATTCTCACTTAATGAAGTCAATGAGAAAWAAATTACTTCATCCTATTTTCTGAGACAAGTACATTTGTCATTCACTTTTTTGGAGTTTCTGTGTTGCAGCATACTTGCATCAGCAATTATTATATCAGCACTGAGTGTAATAAAAGATAAGCACAGAGTACAGAGATGGCTTTTGCTAAAACGYTTTGATAATACCCCTAAGTAGAATYATTGAGCAGTATTTTGGCACAGACTTTCTACTCACAAAGATACATTTCATGCAGGAGAGAATAGAGGGAAAGGAGCTTAACAGTGCATATAACCACCTTAGAAACTATGCCAGCTCATGGCCCCTCCCCAAAAGCATCGTTTCTGCTTCTAAATTGCACTTGGTTAGGAGCACCAATAAAGAGACTCCTAGTATCTTAAGTCAAAATCTCCTAAGAGTGAGTGCAGTTATATTGTCCCCCAGGTCAAAGACTGTCTTTGACTTTACTCTCCTACTTCATATCTTCTCTAATTTTTATTCGGCATGTAATTTATTATTACATAATAAATGGATGTATTTTTTGACATGTCCCAATACACCAAGACGGTGTAAGGAAAAAGCGCAGAAATGTACTTTTGTATTTGTACTGTCCTGTAAGATTACTATGTGCTGAATCAGAGCCTATAAAAATTAAGCCATTGCAAAGGTCAGAAAAGAAAATCAAGGTCTTTGCCCTTTATTTATATGACAACAGAATACAGTAAGTTCCCTGGACAATCCTATTTTCTCAAATTTAATAATTAAAAAATATTGATCTGCAAATCAAATGCAGATCTTACACATAAATAATTTATTTTATAATGCCTGCTTTAGACTACCAGGTTTATTCAGAAAGTTCCATAAATAGTACACATATTGCAAATGCTAAAAATATGATGCAATTTGGAAAACTCCCACCATACTGTATCACCAAAATGGAATGAAATCTCATATTACTTATGTTTGAATTAAATATTTTAAGTAAAAAGGACATACTTTTTGCTCGTTTCTCTCATTAAATTGCTATACATTGTAAAATGCTGAAAGACATATATTGCTGTGGATAGCGCAGCACACAAGTCTTGTAGGGGAGCCTTCAAGGGAACATCTTTGCTTTTCTCCTCTAGTCTTGCCAGGACAGCTGTTGCCACTTTGCTGCAGGCCTCTACAAAGTTTGCTCTAATTTCCTGAAGAGAATCATCTCTGCAGGCCAGAGCCAGTGGAAGCAATGTGTCGAGTTCTTCCATGATGTCAAAACAAAACTGAGAGAAATAAATGTGGCACCAAGTTATTTGTGTTCTGACAGCACAGCTTAATTTACACACTCTAGGGTCAGATACTTGAATAAACAAATTGGCATGAAACATAAATATATTGAATCAGCCTAACAAATATTTTAATATCTTAAATACTGGAGTAACGTTTATTTAAATAAATGAAATATTCTTCCCTTCCTTCTTGCTTTAAAGCTGCATATTATTTACCAGGGGAAAAAATAAAACCATCTTATGCTAGTAATGCCATCACTTGGTTTTGATGTCACTAAATGTACATTCAAAGCACAAGGTTAACTAGTTGGAAATACAGATTATTTTCTAAACTAATTAATTTTGAAAAATACACAAACACATTTTTTTAACATTGAATTAGGAAAGAAACTTGTCATGTCTTAATAAATTCATACACTGATCTCCCGAAAATTATCTCCCCAAAGCTCACGTGTTATTTCAAGCAAACATTCATTAACAGCATTGCAAATCTGCTAGAATAGGTGCAACGCTTACTAAAAAATGTCTTTCAAAACATACTTTTCCTTACAGAAATAATTTAATTTATAAATGGCCTTTCAGCCAAATCAAATAATTCTAAATTTGCCTTATTTCTGGTTATGCCAATTATTTGAATGGCATGTCTAATGATATGAATACAGGAAATTCCTTTATAGCCATATTTCAAAGCTTTCGACATTTTCCCATCGAACCACTTGGTAGCAGAGCATRTACTAATCAGAATGCTTTAGAACTTTTTGGCTGAAAAAGAAAATGCCAGTGAAGTTTGAAAGTTAATTCTTTCAAGTACAAACTACGGGCTATTATATAAAGCTCTGTTAAGCTTCACATTGTAATGCCTCTCTCTTTCTTCTTAATTCCATTTATATAAGATATAGAATATTAATAGTACTGTAAGTACTTCAAAGTGTGGATGGCAAACAGCCTTGGCATTCTGTCTCCCTTCAAACTTCAGATCTTTTGATACCTGCCTTAGCAATTCGTTTTGGTTGCTCCTCCTGTTGGCCTGCTCTGCAGGACTCCCTCATTTGCTGGTTGTTTACAAGACTCATTGCACAGCCCGCAGATGAAAACTCTTTTTTCTCCTCGTGTTGAAGAATTTTAGATGAAAAATCCTCAATTGCTATTGTTACACAGTGAGCCACAGAAGAAGACAGGTCTTTAAATGCATTTCTCCAGGCAAAATTCAGTAAAATAGGCTGAAATACATATTAAAATTAAATTAATCCAAAATCATTATTGAGTGTTAATATTTTCTGAAAATTAAATGTACATTTGTAATTAAATTACAGGACAGCATCATATTTTGAAAYGAATTTAAAGAACTTAAAAGATAGTCCACTAGCATTGAAACCATATTAAAATCAGTATCTACACTCAACAAAAATCAACATGTTAAATAAAATTAAACTTGTCATCAAATTTCTAAGACAAAAAGAATCCTGTTTAAACAAGACAGCTTTTAAAATAATGCTTCATCTTTATTTGATTTGTTGTCTTTAACAGAATCTATTTAACAAAGTCAAAAAAAATTTATAGACATTTTCAACAGCATAACAAGCAATATAGTAGCATATACCCTGTAACAATTTTTACTGCAAGGAAACAACTGAAAGCTACTAACCATGAATCTGAATAGGAAATACTTAAAAGAAGCTGATTTTAACACAGCCACACTGTATTTCACTACTCAAGAGCTGGATTTAGCAAAGGTCAAAATGTTTAGAGATTTGTACTTTTTTAGCCAATGCTGGCTTTTGATGTGGTTTACATCAGTTCCCTGCCTTCTTTAAATAGATTTCTGAAGTAATCTGAAGTATAATAGTTGCCAGAGGTAGACACATCCTTACTTTTTTTACTTACTTGACTCTGCATTGCTTTTATGACATACATCAGACCTAAACCTTTCCAAAGTGACCAGTTGAGAATTGCACCACCACAAGAAACTTATTTTCATGACATAAGATGATGTTCTGTAAAGATCTCCACCATGAGGGCATAGTACGAGAACAGAAAAGGATTCCCAACTATTCCTGTGGCTATAATACTAATTTGGAAGAGAAGGGCTACAAAGGCTTCCAGTTTACTTCAATTTAAAAGCTGTATTCTTCCTTTCACCCTCCCCATTTGCATCATTCAGCTCCTGTAAGCACAGAGAGAGCTCCCATGGACCACACCTTTGCACTCCCCATTTTTTTGGTGGGGATCAAGTATAGCCCAATCTAGTCCAAATATTCTTMTTTGTAATACATAAGAACATTAGTCTCACACACCAATCCAAAGCACATTTTAAAAAAAAATCAGCATTAAAATTGAACCACAAGAAATTAAATTCCACTACCATAAAGTATCAGTTGTTGGACCATTTAGGTTTCACAAAATCAATTATTAAAATCACTGATTAAAATTTGATTAGTAGTAAATGGGAGGCAGATAGAAACTTAATCTTGCACATRCATTCTACAAAGCACAGTGCTTATTACACAGTAGTTTGTTGGCATCAAAGAAACTAGACATTGTGTGAGTACTTCTATCGCTGGGAAAAATCATTATGATCAAATTCTAAGAACTTCATAGATTTTCTTTATGGTTAAATGTATAATACTATGAAAGCTATCATATTTTAGCTTTTTTTTTTTTTCTGTTTTGAGGTCTCTTATGCTTAAATTCTTTCTATTATTAAATACTAAATACCAACCACTTCTTTGAATGCCAAAAGATTTTATTCCACCTTAACTGAAACTTTGCACATAAAAGTAATCACAGTAGCTAAAGTAATAAAACCATGGCAATACATGTTTATAATGAACATAATGAAAGTCTACACTAGAGACACACACAAAAGAAAACCCCACACAAAGTGTAAGACTCTTTTCATACTCACCTCTTCTACCTGAAGTAACTGTTCAGGAAGCACGCTGGTTTCATTTGCTCTAGTTTCTCCTATTAAAAGCTCCCCACTAGCTCTCTTCAGAACTCCTGCACAGTATGATAAAAGAGATCAAAGTTAAGATTAATTCTGTAGAAAAGTTAGCAGCCTACAACATCTTCTGATATACCAATATGAAGCATAAAAAAACCCTCAAGAAGATGTAGGAGAATACTAATACTATGATAAAATCAAATTCAAATTATACACAGTTCCTTTTATATAACATGAAACCCACATCCTGTTGTAAAATCATATTTTATACAAATGCATGTATAATGTGTAAAATATGGCTTCTTTTGTCATTAATTCATATTTATGCCGATTGTGAAGTCACCTCTTCTTAGGGACAATAGATAACACTAGATGAGCTGTAAAGAAATTAATTGCTACTCTTTGTTCAATAAATCATATCAACTGAACATTTACGTATTTTTACAAATTTTACTTCTTTGAAAACACCAATATAATAAGAATAAAAACAGTCAATTAGTAGAGTTATTATAAGCAAAATGATGGCTTATAAAAAAAATAAAGAAAAAGAGAAAATCCTTAAGAAGGGATGATACAAAGCTCACTCATAAATCTTAGAGTAACAGGAATATTGCCCCAGTTTTGTCAAGGACAAACCAGAATCTGGGGTTGATACCACTTTTATCAGGGTTTCAAGATATCCAGGTTCCTGAAGTGCATTGATGATTTCTCTTCCAAGTGATAGAAGCACAAATGGAAGTGCTGTCTGGGGGCATGAAAGAAAAAGGCAGCCTTGGCTGCAGTGACCATGAGATAGTGGAGTTCCAGATCCTGAGAGCAGGGAGATGGGTGAAAAGCAAGCTCACAGCCCCAGGCTTCAGAAGAGCAGATTTTGGCCTCTTCAAATATCTGCTTGGAAGAATCTTATGGAATAAGGCCCTAGGTAATGGGACACGAGAAATTTAATTAATCTTCAAGGATCATCTCAAGCACAAGAGAGCTGAAAAACAAAAAAGTCAGAAGGCCTGCRTGCATGAACAAGTTCTTAGCCAAACTCAAACACAAAATGAAGCCTACAGAGCATGGAAGTAGGGATATGTAACCTGGGAGGATCACTTAAACAATTTCTGAGCATGAAAAAAATTAAGGAAGCTAAAGCCCAAATGCAATTAATTTGGCCAAGACAACAAGAAGAGCTTCTATGAGTGCACAGGCAATAAACAGAAGACTAGGGAAAACATGAATCCATTGCTCAACAAGATGGGGAACCTGGTAGCACAGATATGGAAAATTGAGAGACACTGAAAGTCTTCTTCAATGTAGTATTTATGAGCAAGTCCAGGAATCCCAGGCCTCAGAGACCAGGAGCTAAGGCTGAAGAAAGGAAGACGTAGTCTTGGTGGAAGAGGATCAGGTCTGAGAATGACTAGGCAAACTCAACATATGGAAATCCTTGGTCACTTCCAGGATGCACCYGCAAGTGTGGAGGGAGCTGGCACATGATGTTGCAAGGCCACTCTTAATAATCTTTGATCAATCATGGTAACTGGGAGAAGAGTCCAAAAGCAGGAAGAAAGTCACTCCTATCTTCAAAAAGGGCAAGGAGGAGGCCTCAGGGAATCAAGAGTCTTGTCAGCCTCTCTTCAATGCCAGAGAAGGTGATAGAGGCATTGTCAGACGCATTACTGACAAAGAATTCATCAAGASTATTCAGCATGGCTTCAGTAAGGGGAAATCAAGCCTGACCAACCTGATAAACTTCTATGAAGAAATTAGTGGCCTAGTAGATGAGGAGGCAGCACTGGATATTGTCTACATGGACTTAGTAAAGCCCATGACATTGTCTCCCATAAGATCTTGTTGTAGGACAAACTGTAGACAAGCTCTTGATGTGTGGGCTGGCRGCAAGGTAATTTGAGAAGTGGCAGAATAGCCTAGCCCCAAACGCAGTGATCAGTGGCACAAACTAGTTTAAGGCCAACAATAAGCAACCTGAATCAGGGGTCAACACTAGGTCCCATCCCATTTAACATCTTCTTTAATGATCTGGATGATGGGGTAGAGTGAACTCTCAGCAATCTTGCGGCTGACATCAAACTGGATGGCAGGTGGTCATGGTGCCATCCTGAAGGACTTCAGCAGGCTGAAGAAATGGGCACACTAAAACCTCAGGACCTGCAAGAAGGATATGAGCAAAGTCATGCACCTGGTGGGGGAACAAACCCAGGCATCAGTCTATTTTGGAGGTCTCCCAGCTGGAAAGAAGCTTTGCATGAAAGGACTGGGGATCCAAGACAACACGAAGTTGAACAAAAGCCAGCAAAAAGGTTGATGGTATTTGTTCTGCATCAGGAAAAGCATTGTCAGCATGACAAAGGAAATTATTCTTCCCATCTGCTCAACTCTGGTGAGCTGTATATGGAGTCAACTCAGTATTAGATAGACATGGACATACTGGACAGTATGTCTAACAAAGGGCCATGGAAGATGACAAAGGATCATCTCTTCCATGAGGACAGGCTCAGAGCCCTGGGAGCTAACAGAAGAGAAGGCTAAGGGCAGGATATATCATTAATGTATACAAATACTGAAAGAAGGGTCTAAAAGGGCCAGAATCAGACTTGCCACTGACAGGGCCAGTGGCCACAGGCACAGACAGACACAAAGACAGGAGGTTTCCTCTGAACATCAGGAAACACTTTTTACTGTGAGGGAGACCAAGCACTGCAAGTTTGTCCAGAGAGGTTAAGGTACCTCCATCCTTAGAGATACTCAAAAGCTATCTGGACATAATTGTGGGCAATTGGCTGTAAAGGCCTTGCTTGAGCAGTGATTGTTGGACAAGATGAACTCCAAACGTGTCTTCCAACCTCAAGCATTTTGTAATGCTGTGAGTCACAAAGAAATACAAGAATAATAGCAAACTATATGGTAGTTAAAAAATCTGCTTTATAGCATAAAGCTGATAATACTGGTACAAATATTCCTAATGTAATGTACTTCATATGAAATTAAAAGAGGTTTTAAATGACCAGGTGCTGCCAAAGTTTCGTTAAAGATTATTTTCTGGGCATTAAACTTARAGAACTTCAGTGATCCGAAGCTAGTAGCAGTACATGGCCAAGGTTTAAAGAGCCTTTTTCTTTCCAAGAAATTTCCAGCATTTGAACATACATAGAATTTAATTTATCAAAAGTAGGTTTTAACTTTCCCCTAATCAATTTGTTTTCTGAAAATGAACACTGTTTTTCATACACCTGTACAACATTGTAGATCTTTGAAGTTTTTGTGATTATTTTTTTGTTTTGTTTTGTTTTGTTTTGGGAATTTCTGGTAATTTTTTTTCCAAATATGATTTTTGTTTGCCTTTTCAAAACACATTGACAGATTTGAGCTGGGAAAAATGAAAAAAAAAAAAGGTAGAACATAAAACCATAAGATATTAGCCATGTCATCCAACTCCCTGATCATTCAATACATTACAGACAGCACCATAAACTTACTGGGGTATTTTCCAATAGTTTTCTTTAGAAATTAGTTCAGAATTAAAAAAAAAAAAAACAAACCAAAAACCAACCAAAAACCAAACAATGACATTTGACAAGATATTTTCCTTCTTTTCTATCCTATGCTTTCTACCTTAAATTTACTTTCTTTTAAAAGTAATTATTTTTATAGCTATAACAGCAGAGTCTAACTACAAGCCCAAGTAAGCACCTAAATATTCACATTCTTGTATTATTGTCACTACYTAGATCTGCTATTTATAACTTTTTATATCAAGACTTTAAAGAAAACCTTAAACATTTAGCCTAAAATCCTCATGTATTCACAGCACCATCCCCCCACCACCAAAAAACCGGACTGAGCAAAACCACCACAAAGCTCCTTCATTACTAAATTAACATGTTCTACTAGATTACCCCACCTCCTTTTTCAGTTGACAGTCTGGGCACTCCTGCTTTATACACACATGTATCTATCCATGTACATCTAGACTCACATATATTAGAAACTTCACTGCTCTTCCCAAAGTCCCAAATTCAAGTTCCCATATTTTGTTGAGCTCCTTTGGCTTCTCAAATTTTTGCTTTCCCCAAATCTCATCTGGGTAAGGTTGGCCTTAACCTTCTTCTTCAATTTAACCTCCAGCTAACAAGGATTTCCTTCACACTTCGTCACGACCATTGCACACTTTGCCACTGCACCCATCAGCCTCCACACTTCAGATGCTACTACAACCTTCCTCTCAAACACTATTTCCACAGACACAGGTAACAAATTATACCCTTCCTGTCCGGCAACTTCTTCACTTGTGTGAGAGACAGGGAGGATTGCTGGCTCAAAACATTTTGGGTGTGTGTGAGGGATAAAGGCCTTGTTCTGGTGAAGCTGTGCATTGCTCCAGACACTTCACCCTCTCTGGACTATATCCCAGCCCAACAGTAGTTACCAGTGCCTGGCACATGGCCCCTGGAGCCCCAGTCCAGCCCAAGAGTGGCCAGATGACTCTAACTCCCASCTGAAGAAGGGCCCAGGAAAGCTAAAGGGTATGTAACCTGAAACAAGGGCTGAGCATGTCTTGACCCTACCTCCCCCTGGAATTTCTWTCAGCTGAACACAGCTGGAATCAGGAGTGGTAGTTATGTTTGTTCTTTTCTGTATCTTTTCTATCATTCTTTTTCTTGTTTCTTCTTCTAATTCTCTTTCCTTGGAATTTTTGAGTAACTTAAAATTGAACCAGCTTAGCGTTTGCTAAGTTGAATGGGCTAATTTAATACTTTGAGAAGCTTTTTGTGTTGATTGAATGATGCCCTAAACCTTTTGCAAAAATTMTTTGACTTCCTGAAGCTGCCAGTAAAGTTCTCTTTGTTGATATGGCCTCTGAGAATATCTTGTTGGTATTTGTCCCTTGTATCTCAGAATATATGAAAAAACACAAAGCTTTTTAAGAGTCTCACAGAAGGGTTTTACGGACTTAAAACTTATCTTCTGACTGTCTTGCCTAATTAGCAAACTCTCCTGGGATATGGAAGTGCAGCTTTATTCAAAGGTACAGCTGCTACTCAGCCCAAAT